TGTGTTTGTCGGGGCGGGTGCTTCTGATGAGTGGTTTGGTGCTGCAGGGTGAAGGTCCGGGGTGAGAACACGCCTCCTGTCTTCACCGCTCACTATTTAAAGCCCATCCTCTCTCTGACTGAGTGTTCCGGGTCGTTAAGTCCAGCTGCGGCTCTGAGCCGTCGATGAGCAGCCAGACGCCCGTGTCAGTCCCAGAAACGGGACGAGGGTCGTCCTCAGTTGGACAACCCTCTGAGACCGGCCGGGGTTTTTAGACACTGCTCGTATCGTTTTAATGGCAGCCATTTAATCTGAAGGCAACCTTGTCATGTGACAGGCAACCCTTCACTCCTCAGACCCAATCTGTGGTGTTCTTCTCAACGGCCCCACTAAGTGCTGCTGGCCCTGAACACCTCTGACACGTTCTCCAGGTGACTGGTTCAGGTAACTTCTCCAATCAGCACCTTCACAGCTACAAGAACAACGTCGGCCATTTCTACAAAAACACAGAAAGCAGAAGGAATGAGACCTTTAGAGCATATAATCTGTAAACATGATGAAAGTGATGGTCTGTGGAAGTGCTCCTGAGTCCACAACAGATCCAGACCTGGTGCAGTGGCCCCTGAGGGCCCAACATCACGACCGTCTATCGTTGACCTTCAGCCTCGACCTTTGAGCGCAGAGATTGCTACAGATTCTTCTAATCTGTTGATCAGATTATGAGCTGGAGATGATGGAGATTAACGTCTTTCATGCAGGAACTTGATTCTGAAATTGCTCCTCTGGTTTTAGACAGCGTGCTGAACCTCTGCCCGTCTTTACCTCGAACAGTCTCTGACTGTTCATGAGCTCACACCTTGTTGACGTTTGACACAGCGGCCATCTTTGTTGGAGTTCATGTTTGATACGTTTCTGTATCTGGTACGACGTTAACTTCTCCTGAAGTCAGATGGAGGCTGAAGTGTGTGTGTGTGTGTGTGTGTGTGTGTGTGTGTGTGTGTGTGTGTGTTATCACCTCCATCTGTACGGGCGATGAAACCCTCAGAGAGTTTATCCTCTGGATCAGACCATCTCCTTCACATCTGGGCTTTTGTTCCTCCTCTTGGCAGCAGCTTCCTTCACACCCTCCTCCTCCTCCTCGTCCTCCCCCCTCCTCCCCCTCCTCCCCCTCCTCCTCCTGAACAGGAAGAGTGGGAGGTGAATGAACTCTTCCTTTAGTTATTCCACACAAAGACACTTTCGTAGTTTGGACAGCGAACACCCAGATGTGAGTGACAGCGAGTCAGCGTCTCTTCAGGAGGAAGAACTTCGTGCAGCAGGTCCCAGCTGTTCACCTACAAACTGACTCCTGACCACAAAATGAGATTTAAGATTTAATTCTAGTTTTTATTTTGAATTTAAAGGAACTGATCCTGATTCATGACAAGAACTGAGAGAGGAGAAAGATCAGCCTTCATTAAAGAAGTCAAATAAATAACAATAATAATAATAACAATAATAATAACATAATAATTTTGTAATAATAACTGCATTATTATTACATCATTATCCATCATTCATCCATCATCCATCATTCATCCATCATCCATCATTCATCTATCAATTCATCCATCATCCATCCATCATCCACCCATCCATCCATCCATCTTTCCATCATCCACCCATCCATCCATCCATCCATCCATCCATCATCTATCCATCCTTCATCCATCCATCCATGCATTTATGCATCCATCCATCCATCATCTGTCTATTATTCATCCATACATCTATGCATATATGCATCCATCCATCCATCCATCCATCCATCCATCCATCATCTATTCATCATTCATCCATCATCTATTCATCATTCATCCATCATCTATTCATCATTCATCCATCCATCCATACATCTATCCATCATCCATCTGTCATCTATTCATCATTCATCCATCATCCATCCATCCATCCATCATCTATTCATCATTCATCCATCATCCATCATCTATTCATCATTCATCCATCCATCCATCCATCCATCCATCCATCCATCCATCCATCCATCCATCCATCCATCCATCCATCCATCATCTATTCATCATTTGTCCATCATCCATCCATCATCTGTCTATCATTTATCCATACATCCATACATCTATCCATCCATCCATCATCCATCCATCATCCATCCATCATCCATCCATTACTGATACTCTTTATAGACTCTTCCATTAGATAAAATTAATGAACAAATGTATTAGATTCATTGTTATGCTGACGATGCTCACTTATATTTGTCCATTAAACATTTATATTGATGACAAGTTTGTCTTAAGAGACAAGAAAACCTGGCTGACCCTAAAGTTTCTGTTTTTAAACTGTTTTTGGAGGTGAGCATCTTGGGAACAAACTTTACAGCCGTTCACTTCCTTTGGATGGAGATAATTTGATGTAAAGAACCTTGTTCTTATTTTTGATCAGGATATGTCAGCAGGTTTATTTATTTATTGTATTTAGTTGTGACGCGCTTTGAGCTGCTATACATTAACTAATCTTTCATAAAGCCTGACCTGACCTTTGAACCCACAAGTTGGTTGTTCTAACGTTCTTCAGATCAGCTGACAAAATGAATGTTAGACTCTACAAGAGTCTTCCCGTCCTTCGGCTGGTTTGATTAATATTCACAATCTCCTTCGGGTTGTTCAGCTCGTTAACCTGCAATAATCTGTTAACCATCACAAGTTCACCGGTGATAAAATAAACTAATTAATTTAGGGTCAGCGGGAAAGTTAAAGCTGTTGGAGGTCCTTCTGATACTCATTCTGATACTTTGGCTCACAGTCAGCTGGTGATGTGTTAATTGTTTAATTGGGCTGCAGCAGGTGCGGGATGTTAATGGAGAGCAGGTGTTTGTGTTGTTCCAGCGGCCCGACATGAATCAGTTTTACACGGTGGAGCAGAGGACACGTGTACCACGGTGCGCAGTGATTTAACGTCCCCGGTGAAACGAACACATCCGGCAGCTTTCAGCCTTTAATTACATGGTAGATTTCCTGCTGATGAGCACGGAGCGAATTAACAGCAAGCAGGCTAATTCACAGATCGGCCGACGAGGACGAACCTGGAGCCGGAGCTCTTAGCTACACAAACATTAGTTTTTAACGATCGAGCTGTCACTTCAGAGCTGGTGACAAACTGCACACGTGCAAAAACTGGACTCTAAAACCAATCAGGAAGTTAATGAGGAGAAAAATGACTCCTCTTCCTTCCCACCTCTGCTGACGAGGAAACTCTGAGGGAGACCTTTGGAAAGCAGCTCCGCATGAACGAACTGCACTTGTGTCGACTAACAGTGATTATCTTTAAAAATAAAGATTACTAAACGCTTTGTTGTATTTTGTAACAAATTATCACTTAATGACAGGTTCTAAAGTTTTCTATAAACTCGGTTTTGTAAAAATGCGTCTCATGTTTAGGGAAGCAGCACGGTTCGTTTTAAAAGATCTCAGTGATGCTCAGGGAGATATGAAACTGCTCAGAGGAGGAATGTTCTTAAACTGTTGTCATGGAAACGGCTCTTTATACACATCTGCAAAACACTGAAACAGACGTAGTTCTCTACAAAGGTCCTACCACATAGCACTGTAATACCACACAGTACTGTAGTATCACATACTACTGTAGTAGTAATATTAAATTATGATTTAGTTTATGGCAGTATAGTTTATGACAGTATTCGCTGTAGTTTAGGGCAGTATATGCTGTAGTTTATGACAATATTCGCTGTAGTTTATGACAGTATTCGCTGTAGTTTAGGGCAGTATATGCTGTAGTTTATGACAATATATGCTGTAGTTTATGGTAG